CTTAAGTATGTTAGACAAGCCACAAAATTAAAGAGTCTATATTATTCAGACGGGTGATGTTTGGCATACTGAAGAGAATTTTTTTACTGGAGTCATTTGTCTCGACCAAAATTGGAGTCTTCGCTTACACGTTCTGTACCAATAGCCTTAATACTTCCTGTTTAAAAAAATTAAAAAATTCTCTGAGCATTTCTGTTGCTGCATTTACAGATTAAAAGATAAAAGAATAAAATATTTGATAAGTTTTCTAAAAAAATTTTAAATAGATTCATTGATAAATTGTGGAGTGAAGGAAAAAATTTGAATGTTTATTTAGAATTGTAAATTAAATGGAGTCGAAAATTTCGGCCGGAGTTGGAATCAGATTTTTTAAGGTGCCGGAGTCGAAATAGTATTTTTTTATCCAAAAAATGTTATTTATAATTTTAAAAAGTTGTTTTTTTTCTGAAAATTTTTTTAAGATTGTGTTTTTTAAAGGGTAACTTTATGTAGTGATAATCAACATCCTTAGTACAGAAAATAAATGCTGATAATGTGAAAGAAATCACATAATTTTCTTTCAGTATGTTGTAACACATAAAAATAAAGTATTTTCACTGAGAAAAACAATTACTTTGACTGATTTTAAGTGTTTTTTAAAGTAATATTTATTAAGTTGTGATAATAAAGGTAAAATAATGATACAAAATTTGAAAATTGTTTTCAGTATGTTTTAAAATATGAAAATAAAGTAATTTTAGTAGGAAAAACAATTATATTTACTAGTTTTAAGTCATAAAAGAATGAAATTAAGATTCAAAAGCTTAAATTTTTTTTTGGAATTCGGAACCTGCAATTAGGAATCGAAAATATTTGCCCAGAGTTGGAGTCGGATATTTCTCACCTAAATCCAACACACTGGTGTCAACTAGTTTAGTTTTAAAATCGCTCAAAAAAATAACAGCCATAAACATTTTTTAAGTATAAAATAAATTCTTAAAACAAGTTTAAATATTTCAAAACACATTTTACCTTTTTGGATTTTGGTCTCTGTAGATTCTTCCAAATCAAATTCTTCTAATTTTCCATGTAGGTGTTTAAGTAAATAAATCAATGAAATAATAATTGAAGACAATACATATAGATAAAATGGTATTTTGCCAACATTGCATGTACTGGGCTGGGATCTTACCGCATTCGTACACGGTCACTAAAACAACAGTGCCAGATACCTTAACCATTTTACCATCACGCTTACAAAAAATAGAAATCTCATGCAACACACTTTAATCTTTTTAACTTAATGTTGTCTTTATTTTTCCACAAAACTTCTAAAACTTCAATCAACAAAATTTAAAAGGTTGAAAATTACAAGTTAAAACTTTAATAAAATAAATGATTGAAAACAGAAAAAAAGTATATCTAGTAATTATAATAAATTAATATGGTCGGGAAGTTAGTCTAAAGAGCAGAAGTGTCAGATCTTGCGTTGTTACGACGTGATGACCTGGTTCGAATACTGTCTGATCCTTTTTCAAATTCGACCGGATTTAGTCATATTAACAAACATAAATCTGGCTAGACCAGTATTCTCGGGCAAATCTGTGCACAATGCAATTTTTTTAACTTTGCGACAATTTGCATCAAACTCAGCCTAAATCCTCGTTGCCTCACATTCATAACAATAATAGACTAACATGAACTAAATAAAATTAGAACTTATACCTTTTAAACGATTTTCATGTCAAACATTATGTACGGACTTACGCATGGAAACAAACATAATTTAAAACTTGCATGCATATTAACAATATGTAATTATATTATACATGAAAGCAGCACACATGTTAACACACTTTGTAAAACAAATTTCACAATCTTCCCATCAATTTCAAAATTTCTGAAATGCTAACCATCGTTTGGTGACACTGTGTTAGTTTAAAAAGAAAAATTGATGATTTATTTATTGAAATTAATCTCTTAAGATGATTTTATTTGATTGAGGGTTTTTGTTAGGAAAGCCTACAACATTTTCACCAACTGTCACAGCCTTTTATAAAAAAATTTTTTTTGCCGAATTTCAATAAAAAAATTCAAGTTAAGGTATGTAAGACATGAATACAACGTGGATTATGCAAAAAAGGTTCGTCAACATTCATTCTAAAAAATCTGATCTGTCCCTACAAACATTTTCCCTTTACTACACGGCTGTTTTAAACAATTTTATTATTTTAAAAGAAATTAAAAAGTATCTACAAATACGATATCTACGCTAAAACGAATTTTTTTGATTTATTTTTCTGCTACCAGCTACCACAATTTACATGAAGAACGAGGTGTCAAAATGGTCTATCTATATCCTTAAGTTACAAGTCTCCATATTAATTCAAATATATAAATATATTATGATTCTTACGATGCCGTTGAAATACTCAAATGTGAAGTGTTAAAATACTTTAAAAATACTGAGTTAAAATTTAATAAATTAAATAATATTTAAACAACAAATACTGCTACTGAAATATATATACTGTTTGCAAGTATATGAAAAATATTTTGAATATCATTTGATGAAAATTAAACGGTTAATAAAAGAATTTGTGTGCTTATAAAACGGATCATACACTACAAATCTTAGTTCATAGAGTTAGGCTTGAGAAAGTTTATCGACTATTAAATATATTTTTTGTACTTTAGTTAATAACAAAGAACTGAAATTAAAAAAACTTTCGGAATTTAATATATTTAAATATAATAATTTTAAAAGATTATATTTCACATTATAATTTATTAAAAAGAATAATTTACCGTTTTCTGACATTTGCGAGTGCGCATACTTCACAGCGGACAGCACTATTATGACGAACGTCAGCCCAGCCAGAGCTGATATAATGTAAGTAAATTTGGATAAGTCTGCTTCGAGAGAACTCAACTCATCTGCAGTTTCAGAATTCATTTCATCAGTTGATTATTTATACAGTAACAAGAGTTTTATTATCCAATCTCTCTTATTTAACATTCAGCTGCATCAAATACGTCAAAAACGTACACGCAGGGTTCATATAAATATGCGTAGATCGTCGCGTCACACATTGCATGTGATTGACAGGCGCTGGGGACATCATTGCATTCGACACCCCGTAACTGCAACACAGCAAGATCAAATACCCTGACCTTCACGCCAACTCAATTTGGAAATATGCCTTTCTAACTAAATAATAGAGATTCCTAGCGTGATCAGCAAAATAATTTTTTATATTCCAACTAGAGTTTTGAATCTTTCTTTACTTCGTTACCCGCTGTTAGAGTAAGTTGGAAATGTTTCATGTGGAGGAAGGCTATGATTTTGTTACAAAAGTTGGCGAACTTATTTTTATGGCTTATTTAACAATTCAATTCCAATTTTATATTAAAATCAGATGAAATGTTTTGACAAAATTAACCAAACGTCACAATTGCGGGTACCGAAAAAGTTTCTAGTCGATACAGGCAAACCCCTTTATAACGAACCTCTATACAATGAAAATATCTATTAAACGATTATTTATATTACCATTGGAATTTCACACACAAAACAGTTTCTATAAAACAAAAATAATTTCTTTATAAAATATACCACCAAAATTTATAAAGTAAAAGAAATATTCGAACATTTTTTAAAAATAATTTTTTGAGCATATTTGCCTGTAAATTAGACTATATTTTGATATAAATGTTTTACGTATTATGCTTTTTGCTATATATGTATATAGTGTAAACACATACATATAACATTAATTTAGTCTTCACATCTTCAGCAATTACACTATGCATTATTACTCTATATTATAACAATATATGATAAAAATGGTTTTTTTTTCATAAATATACAGCATAAAAGCACTTTAAGTAATAAAGAATTTTACTCGAACCAAATTCCATATAACGAATTTTCTATATAACGAGAAATTTTCCAGGAACCATCAAGTTCGTTGTACGTATACATAGGTAGATTTTGTTAAATGTAGCCTCAATATTATCAACTAAGTATATTATTGTGGAGGCTTCAGCCCCAAAGCCCACCAATTGGCTATGCCCTTTGATTTTTACAAAGTGTTTTGTCTAAAAATTCTAAATTCACCTCTACAATCAGTTCCATTGGCAGATACAAAGCCTTCCCTGCAGAGGCACATTTCCATCATTTGGCCGTTGGCAACCACTCGCATACACATCATAGTCTCATTGCATCCACCGTTGTTTTTGTCACAATCTTTTGTTATTGTTCAAAATGTTCTTACAGGTATTAATTGCTAATTGTTTAGTTTATATTAAAAATTACATTTTATGTTCATTGATTTTATTGTTCGATAAATTTGTGTAAAAACTGTTGATTTTATTTGCTATCGACAAATATTTTTTTTTACAATCATTAACCTTAACCATGAAATGAAAACGTTTACATGGAATTTTACAAATTATTTAAATTCGGTTTGAAATAAAATATCAATTTGTTATTATTTTCATTGTTAGTATTTTTTAAGTTACTAAAATTGTTGTTATTAAAACGGCAATTTTCGAATGTATGTAGTCAGCGAAACCAAATAGCAATACCATTTACTACATTAAATCTAGCGAACAACAAAAGTTCGTGAAGGTACTGACAACAAACATAGGACGTTTGTGAATATAATTGAATAAACGTGCAGTACACATTGCATATGATAGGTGGGATCGGATCATTTTATATACGAATTCAGTCAGTCTCTGCAAGAACAAGCCAGGCATTTCAGCCATTCTAGATTTTCACATACCTACAAGACGGATCCAAATGTAGTTAAGAAGTTTTACGTTTTTTTTTAATTTTTAAATAAAACTTTTTGACTTCTAGAAGAATATAATATTAATACATAAATATCTCTAGGTAATACTCAGTAAAACTTATTTTCTCAGTTTGAAATGATTGAAAAATTTAAAATAATTTTTTTATTACAATTTGATGAAATGAGATAACAATATATAATAATATTTGAATATTTTTATTTTCAAAATTCAACGAGGAAACCTCTCTTGTCACAAAGAACTCCAGTCCAACCAGACGAACAGACTCCAGATCCACAGTATGCTTTCCTACTTTCTTCCTTATCATTTATACAGTAGTTGTACTTCGTTGACTCCCCGCGTACATTGAGATCGGGAGATACTAAAAAAAGTTTATATTGTTAATAAAATCAAATACACATTTTTTCAAGAATATCAGAAATCGATTATGTTTCACTCAGATATGCAATCATAGGCATCCAATATTGCCGGACATAGAATTTTTTGATGGAATTGTCGGCTAACAAAGTAGAAACAAAAAGACACCTCCGTTTCATTTATCATCATAATTCTATTAAGTTACATTCAGATTTTTTTATATTTCGTAAAATTTTGAAAATTGATCATAGAGAAAATTGATTTATTGTTGAAAATTTACGATCGCTAAGCAGAGTAAACTCGGAGGGTTGTTTGCACTGCTCGAAGTTCACTTGATCCTTGAACTTCAATTTTTTTCCGCACTGGCATGTTTTGCTCTGACAAAAGATAAATTCAATAAAACTTTTTTCTCAGTACGAAATGATTGATTAGTTTAGAATAAATTTTTATTATTTAGAAGTTTTATGTTTTATTTTAAAACATTATGATTTATGATATACATTTATTTTCTTTGGACTGAATGTTCTTTGCTTTGTATGTAACTTCACTTTTCCTTTTTCTGTTGATCCGGTTGATAATAAACAAGTCAAGAACGTTGCTAAGCTTATTTCTCTTCTTTTAATGTTTTTCAATATTATATCAATTAATTAAATGATCTACGTGACAAGAAATTTAACAATTATAATTCGAAAACCTGGAAAAATAACTTTTTTAAATTTACATTTATTCCGCTGTATGGAAAGCCAAGCTTTTTGCACTTTTTCAAACAAATCTGTTTATCCAATACATCATCATGTTTATCCTCAAGCTCCAAATGCTTGAAACATCCGATGTCAATTATTTTGTCCGTTTTTTCTGTTAGTTTGCATAACGAAAGGATGATAATATAATTTACTTTCCTACAATACATTGCCTGATGTTGACAGCCGGTAACAAAATTACAATTCATTTGTTTTTTCGAATGATTATAAATTGTAGGACAAAGTTTACTGGCATATACAGAGTAGAAAGAAAGTCCTCCACACGATAATCCGTCTGAACATTTTGTGTTGCATTTCTCGGCATTAACTTCGTAGTCGACATTGTTTCCACAGCTGCACAGTATGCCTTCCTAAATTCATCAGGTTTCAATTTTTATAAAATGTCAAATAAACTTATTTAATTGTTAAATAAAGAATGAAAATTTGAAAGCAACATATTCCACAGACCTTCATTCCGTAGAATAAAGTTTCTTTACAATATTCAAAGCAAGATTTAACCATATGGATCCTAAGCATTTTAACATGCTTCATTTTAGCAAAACAACCTTTGTAGTCCATGCTGCTTTGAGGTTTAACTAGATCAAATGAACAATAAACAAACAGATTTAATAGAAGTTTCGATAAATGTATTCAAGCATTAACAATATCGTCTAGCGTGCTAATCAACAGCACTCATCAAATAACTTAGTAAATAAACGCTTTTTGGAAGCTATTCTAAAACCCGCCAAAATTTGAGAAATAGGAAAAAATTTGCAAAATATTTTTTTGAGATGAGAACCTAAAAAAACAGACCCAGCAAAAAAAATGTTTCGCTAAAAAACTATGTTAAGAAAATTAGGTTTAATTATTTTTACACTGTGCTTTATGAAGTTGCTAAACTAGTTTTATGAAAACAGTCCCAATTTAACTTAAAATAACAATTTACTGTTATTCCTTTATTCAAGAGATAAACAACACAAAATTGTAAGATATAAAATAAGATAGAATGGATAAACGCTATCAATAGAACAAGAAGCAAAATTAAAAGCCTGAGTCAAGAATAGGATGTTATTGAGTAGGCCTGGAAAAACCATAACACAGAGTTGTAGCAATTTTTGAGATAAATCTAGTAAAACCATTGTTACTAAAATAGGATAAATTTAAGATTTGACAGAAAGAAGGCAGTCAGAAATTATTACCTAAATTCTAAAACATATTCCAAAACCTTCATCATCAAAGCTGAACATTTCTTCATCAGGCGGGTTGCATTTGACTTCAAACGTCAAGCCATCAACTTTCTTATCCTCGTGTTTCAACTCCAAACAAATGTCATCACCGCACCCTCCATTGTTCTTTCGGCAACCGTTTTCAGAAATCATAGTTGTGATGTTGGTCAAATCGGTAGTAATTGTCATCCCTTGACTCGTGGAATTATTCATATCTTGTTTTGCAATTTTTGTAAAATAAAAGTTTAAATTTTACGAATATCTAGAGTTCAACAACCAATTTTTAGTTAATAATTTTTACATTAGCTAACGGCACAAGCGTTCAGATACATACAAATTTTAATATGTTATAAAATTCTGCACCTTTCTCATGGCAAATTATTCCGCTCCAGCCTGGCAAACAAACTGAGGATGCACAATAATTCTTGGTGCTCTCTTCCTCGTCATTCAGGCAGAATTGGTATATTGTTGAAGGGGTGTACTTATTTTTATCCAGAGAAACTGTTGCAGTAGAAATTTGCATCGATCAAATATTTTATTCTTTAGTGACTTGAAATAAATTGTCTAGATTATTTACATTTTGGCTTGGACTGGTAACTAAAACTTTTGATTAGCATAGTTTTATTGAGATTAACATGATTAACATAAATTTATAAGTTTCAATTCGCGTTGAAATTTAATTGAAAGTTTCTAAAACAAATAAAAACAACTGCCAATATTAACCGTCGTATAGTAAACTATAATTTTTTGGATCATTATCACATTTACGAAGTTGTGCCTGCATGAAGAGTTCAACTCTATTCGTACAATAGCATTTTTTCTATAAATTAATTAACATTCAAATGAAAATCGTTAATTCTGAATTTGCCGGAAGATAATAAAATTTCCAATTTTATATATTTTTCTCAAAATAGCGGTGTGATGGGGGAATGTTTAATGTGCCTGGACCTGCTGTTGCACTGACCGGAATCGAATACAAGAAGAACCTCCAGTTTATGTTCAGCTGGCATATGCTGATTCTGATATCAATTCTGAAATTTGGTCTGAACTGAATAGTCAGTGCCGGATCGTGTGTTGGGCCCTTACAACATGCAATGTGTTGAAGCATGAAGTCAAGCGTCTTTGGATGCACCGTGTTTTTGTTGTAAGCACTAATAAATATATTCTTTAATTTTATTATTTTAAATATATCTTGAATTAAAATCAACTAAATATGACACAAAGTAAAAAAAATTTGCTAACTAACTTTTGACACGAAGCAATATTTACACATATTTTTGAAGCATGTTTCTTGGCACATTAATACGGATAGATGAATCTGGACCTTATGTAGCAAAGAAAACGAGATAACATTGAAACAACCGACCAGAACAACTTGGTTTACTATAAATTTTTACGTGATTTATATAATTATATATATATATATATATATATATAATTATATAAATCTCTATATATATATATATATGCCCATCTTGCGACCGAATGGGTTCGTAAACAACGCGATGTTGTTCTTACCTATTGGTCGCGACACCTCAATTTGAGTTTCTTGGTTACAATAATTGAGTTGTGTTATCTTAAACCTTATTCGGCAGGCTACTGACGAGTCTCGTGAGAGACGAAACGTACGTCTGGCCTATGGCGGGCAATGGTTTACCAATAATATATATATATATATATATATTTACAACAACAGATTTTACAACAGAACATTTTACTTTCATATACAGAAATGTAACCTTCCCCCCCACAAGGAAAGCCATCAGAACAACGTTGATTACATTTTTTAGTATCGACTTTGTTTGCAAGAGTGGTATTACAAACGCATGTTCTTTTATCCTGAAACCGTAAAAAACATTTAGAAATAGAAATTGAATTAAATAAAATAAAAACAAAATTTGCAAAATATTGTCTTTTTAAGTTACTTATTTAATTTAATAATAAACTAACTGTCATGCCATAATATGAACTGTTGGATGGTTTGCACTGAGTGTAACATCTATTTATGGTTGGGGATGAATGTGGAAAATCACGAATAGTATTGACGGCATAGCAGCCTCTGTAATTTTTAAACCTCAATAGAGTTTCATTTATGCCTAAATGAAAACATTATTAAAAAAAGTTGAAATTAATCGTTGATAAATTCACTTTAATAAGTAACATCAGTAGTCTAAAAGATTCGAGTTTGATTGATCGAGTCCTAACAAGCTCGAAATCATTTTTAAATTTTCAAATTAACAGAATTTATGTTATACTTTCATTTTTAATTGATTGTGTATTTAAAAAATTCTTCACAGAAACCAAATTTCAAACATACTTTCAATTGCTGCCGTTGGATGGTAGGAAGCAAGCAGGACAACGAAGACTACCAGAGATAACTTTCTCGGATCCATGAAGCACAACTCGTGCCTGATGAATAATCACCATTTATATTTTTAACATCAACTCATCCATCGAATCGTCTGTTTGCACGTCTATTTATAAAAGTTGGCTGATGTTACACATGTCATTTGATTTTGGAAAAACATTTTTTTATATTTTTCATGGAACGAAGTAAAAGTAAGTATACTAAAATTTAAAAACTGTTTTTTGTTTATTATTATTGTGACGTCATCAAAAAAATATGAAATAAATATTGAATCGAATTCTAGTTGTATAAACTACTCTGGCGACAGAATGGAGTAACGGTAAAGTTTTAGTCTAAATCAGCGTTTACTTCTCTGATAGCTTTCTCTGGAACTCTGGAAGTTTCTACCTCCTTCTTTTACTACTTCTTCATAACTCAAGAAGTTTAGAGCGGATCTCAAGATCCGTCTGTTTGTGATATTAATTGAAGAGAGCTGTTGAACATCGCGAAAACCGCGCTTTTAAAACTAGTCGAATGTTTGATTTAAAAAAAATCATTTTATTAAAACTATCAACATTTTTGAAACTTTCATGAAGAAAGGAATGTTTTAAATTATTTTTTTAATCATTAGAACAGGGTCAGAGCAACTGTTTTTGTGGAATTTCGACATTTTTCTTTCAAAATACCTAGACCTATATATCGCATTCGTTTATTTTTTTTTAACATTTAGTTCTTAATAAATTGCTAAAATAGTAAATAGTCTTTGAAAGGTTATGCTGTATGCTCAACGTAGTTAGTTTCGTACAAGTATAAGATTTGGTATGAATTATTATAGCACAACAACAATTAATTTAATCTCGTTTCTATTTTGAGTAAAATTTGAAAATAAGAAAATTATTCCAACTAGGTACAATTATTTGATAATTTATTATTTTTAAACAAATAGGAACGCGAAATAATGATAACTATTTTTATTTTGATTTATAGTATGTTTATTTAAGGATGAGACTAGTTTTAATCGAAACTTGACAGATTTTTTTTTAATGAATTATCCAAATGTAAATTAAAAATTTAATTTAATCAATTTAATTTTTAGATTTTTCACCAATAAAAATTATTTGAATAAAACAATTTTTTACATTTTTTTAATTTTTCAGATGTATCAGCACGTGATAAGCGGGGATCTCTTGTCATTCGAATCCAGAAACTGCAACAGCAGTGCCAGCCACCTTGTTCAATGCACCATCGTCATGGGCTCATAACAATAAAGATGATGGGCAATTCAAAAATGTCAAATAATTTTCACGTTATATCATATTCACTCTTGATTTTTAAGAACCTGCGGAATAACAAACACTTGACGATTGTTGGATGCTACAACACTGGTGTTGGAATTATAGAAATCATTGAAGTTATAGCATCGGTGTTGGTAGTTAGCGTTCAAGGATTTACAACACTATAAATGATAGCGTAAATATAGGGCAGACCATTTTTAACTGAAAATTATGAGCCGAGCATAACAATCACTAGTTATAAATGTTTTCACAAAAAGTTTTAGATGTAATTAGCTGAACCTAGCAGAGTTGGATTGGGCTCCCTTCGTTATCCACAGTTAGCAACACTTTTTGGTCACTATTAACAATATGTTGTTAAACATTAAACAGACATTTAAAACGCTGTTTCAAACAGCATGACTGCACAAACTCTTGTGCCTAAACTGAAAAAAAATTTTGCCATCTTGCTTCAGGGCCCCACACATACATTTCTCAAGTTTCCTTTCCTGCCCTAAATGTAGTCTACCCCCTCACTGTTAAGGTTGTCTGAATGCGTCCTTAAAACCTACACACTCAATGATGAAATACGAAGCTCCAAGAAATAAATTAACGAAAGCAAATAAAGGTATTGATAAATATAGAGATTCAAGAAGTAAAGAAATTAAAACGATTTAATTTTTAGACTAATTATTTTTTAAATGACTGCTGCAAAAAATGTCATTTCAACCTCTGTTATCACAGAGTGCTCCAGTCCAACCCAGCAAGCAAACAAAGAGTGAAGCACGCCGATGTGGGCGAAAAATAAAGTTGAAAGACCAAGTAAATATAGAACAGTGTTCATCACCCGTATTCACGCTACTGACTTTTGAATACATTTTTTCAAGATAAATATTTCTTAAGGAAATTATTCAAATTTATACATTAGCCTGATTTGTATGTCTATCACAATCCGACAAAATACAACTACTGCATAAACGATAATATATATATATATATATATTATGAATAATACTTATTTCTGAAATGAATAACCAACTGGTTAAGTTCTCCAACTGGTTCACTGGAAACAGGTTGGTTTTGAATTCAAAAAAATCCTGCTATTTAGTCTTTGGCCCTAAAATCAAAACGAACAATGATATCTTCTCTGGCCTAACCTGATATTATACTGGTATATAATATATGTTTGTTTCTTACTGATATATAATATATGATGTTTCTTGGCCTGTTTTCACTGATGATACCAGCTTAGAGACAGATTATAAAAACTTTTTTCTAACCTATTTGGATTGTATTAATACTGCATGTCCAATAGTCACCAAAAAGGACCGCTTTAGAAAACCTTGGATGGATATTAACTTGTATAACTACAGTTTGCGCAAGAATGCTTTATATAGGTTTTATATATGTAACCCTACATTAGAGAATAAAAACGCATATATTAAATCAAAAAATTATTTTATTAAACTAAAGAGAGTTAAAGAAAAAGAATATTATGACAATAAGTTTAAAAAATGTAAAACGTCTTAAGAAAAATGGTCCGAAATAAATAAAATAATAAGATCAAAAATTGACAAAACACATCTGTTCAAATGTAATGATTCGTTGTTAACAAAATTGAATAGTGTTAATGAAATTAACACATTTTTTATTGATCAATGTAATAGACTTATTTGTCATAACACTGCAGAATTTAATCTGAACAGTTCGATGATGATGGATCATGATTTTCCATCATTCTTAACCGATGCATCGCCTGATGAGGTGATAATGATTGTTAATAGACTAAAACTAAAAAACTGTTTTGACAGTGATCTTTTATCCACCAAATTATTAAAGGGTACTATTTACCCCATAGCTGGTTCAATTGCCACTTTATTCAACAAATCAATCGTCGTTGGCCAGTTCCCTAATAGACTGAAATTGGCAAAGGTACTACCTATTTTCAAGGGTGGTGATTGCAATCAATATGGCAACTACAGACCCATATCGATTCTATCAGTATTTTCAAAAATTTTTGAAAAACTAATGTTTGATAGAATGTGGTCTTACATATCTAAACACAGAATGATTAATGGAAATCAATTTGGCTTTGTTCCCAAGTCATCAACTGAGAAGGCTATTGCTATGCTGTATGGGACTCTCATAAATAATTATGATTCAAGGAAGCTTAGCTTAGGCGTTTTTATAGATCTAAGCAAGGCATTCGATTTAATTGACCACAATATTTTATTGTATAAAATGTCTAAGTATGGCTTTCGAGGTATAGTACTGAGCTGGTTCAAGTCTTACCTATACAATCGGTGTCAATATGTCTGTATTGAAGGTGTTGAATCGTTGCCCAAGGAAATAGTTTCTGGAGTTCCCCAGGGTTCAATCTTGGGACTGCTTTTGTTTATTCTGTTTATAAATGATATTTTTTTAATATCAAATGTGTGTACCACAATTTTATTTGCTGATGACACGACTATATTCTTGTCTGACGAAGACCCGATAAGACTATTTTCTGAAATGAATAACCAACTGGTTAAATTCTCCAACTGGTTCACTGGAAACAGGTTGGTTCTGAATTCAAAAAAATTCTGCTATTTAGTCTTTGGCCCTAAAATCAAAACAAACAATGATATCTTTTCTGGCCTAACCATTCACATAGGTGACTCAGTGATATCCAGAAACTCGTCAGCTAAATTTCTGGGAATTATTATCCAGTCTGACTTGAAATGGAATGAGCATATAAATTCGTTGGTAAGCAAATTATATAAAATTACTGGAATTATTTATAGATCACGCAATAAATTAAGTACTAAAATCATGTTTATGCTATATTACTCCCTAATCTATCCATATCTCCTATATGGAAATGTTTTTTGGGGAGCTTCTTATGATTATTTAATAAAATCATTGACAATAGTACAAAAAAGATACCTTAGGGTTTGTTTTTTTTCTGAAACACCTTGATCATACACTGGCAATATATTCCGATTATAGTATCCTCAGTATTGAACAGCTTAATAGGTATCTAACCTTGTGTTTCGTTTATAGAGTGTTATATGATGCTGAGTTCAACATGTTAGGCTCATTTGAAACGGTGTCAACAAACACTAGGCAAAAAGGTTTGTTGATACCAATGACTTGCAGAACTGATTTAAATGCTAGATACTGGGCGGTAAGAGGAATTCGTCTTTGGAATTCCTTGGAACTAGGTGAGAAAAAATTTTCCGGATATAATGAATTTAAAAAATATATAGAAAACTTATGCAGATCAATGTAGGTATGATGCTTTCTTTGTTTAATTTTGTCGTGTTTTATTTAATTGTTTTACATCTGATTGAATATTTAACCTCCTTACTTTAAGTTATAAAAATGGATTTATTGGGTGTATTTATATTTATCGATATACTAAAAATGTTTATATTTGTATCTCATATTGTTGCACAACTAGTTAAGGTGGTCAGCACTTGCTTTCGTATATATGATCTCCTGTTTCTTTTCGAATAAAATTCTGGAAAAAAAATATAATATATATAAACATAAATATATATATATATTATATATATATATATATATATAATACGTGAGTTTATAAAGGGTGAGAATTTTCGACCCGCTCCCGCGAGTACGGTCGGCCAGTACGAGCACATGAATTACACCATCTCTCACCACAACCAAAGGTGCATTTCTGTAAACACCCAACTCGTTTTAGGCTAGACGCGTTTCGTCCCTTATGGAACTTATCAGTAGCCCGAGCTTAAAAACCAACTTTGTGCAATTATTA